AATGTATGGATGGATCTATACAGACACGAACCGAAAATGAAATAATGTATATACATATACGCACGAACAGCTTTCTATTTTTGGATCGTATTGATGAATATGTTCTTTTCGTATACGTACGTATATTCAGATAGATACGTACACACAATCACATGTGTGTGGTTGATCTGTCTAAAGGGTAGCACATGCTTCCACATCCGCATAGCTAACTCATGTTCTACCCCGTATGCCATTTACTACCACAGTCGCACTGGCTCCACTCTTCCCAGATAAACTTATTTTGGGTATGGAGATCCGTACCAAGGTTGCGGATTATGTACACGACAAGATTGTAGCATTGCGAAATAACGCAGAAAAGAAAGGTAGGCCAGCATGTCAGTTCTTCCGTCTCGCATACTATATTTGCTGCATGTTTCTTGCTTTATTAAGTTGCAAGGATCGTTTTAGTAACCCAACATCCTACTTTAGCTATGCATGTGTGTGGGTTAAAACTTGGATGCTGGAATAAACCATTGGTTCCAGAAGCAATGCATATGGCCAAACATTAGCGGTGCATCATTCATATTCCAAGTTGCTACTTAGTGTGAAGAGCATATTTTCGTGAATGAAGACGATCAAAGTGCGTTTGAACATCACAATTGTATATTATTGTGTGTACCTGCTAGGAATTGTGGTTAATCGCAACGTAAAGTTGTTTCCGACACATCCCGGTCGGCTACTATAATTCAGCAGGACATGGCTGAGGAACGACGTGAAGTTGATTTGGGAAGAATTTTCATTTCGCTTGTGTAGGTCTACTTCAATTTTAGTATCATTATAGACATGTGGCTATGTGCGTAGTCTTCTGTTGTTTCACATAGGGATTAGCTGAAAACCCCGTGACATCATTCTCACATCTGTTTAACTACGCACACCTTCCCATGCAGCAGGTGTTTACACTGATAGCAGTAAACCTGATAGTGTGTTATGTGACTAATGTGTATATCTGTTTACACGTGAAGATGATTCGTGAATCTTTTCCGTACTTGCAGGTGGTAGGGATGGACGTGAGATAGTGTCTAATAATTTGTCACGGCGACAAAATATTAGGGTTTAGTAAAGTTTGTGTCCATATATATTCATGCAATGAACCTGGCTGTTCCTAAGATCTGTGTGGATATACATATATTACCTCAATACAAATCGGTTTCCAATCTTTATCTAGTTGTGCTCAGATATAAAAATATTTAATCTCGAATTATTTTTACTGCATCACAGGCGATATGGATGGGTATCAGAACGTGTCCGTCATCCGCCACAACGCCATGAAATACCTACCCAACTTCTTCGAGAAGGGACAGCTGTCAAAAATGTTCTTCCTCTTTCCGGATCCCCATTTTAAAAAGTCGAAGCAGAAATGGCGCATTATCAGGTATCGACTCTACTTCTGCCATAAGGGTTGCTTTTGTATCTCATAAATCTTTTTGTACCTGTCACAGAGATTACTGGTGTGTCACAGAATTATTCCTGGTGTATACCACAAGTCTACGCGAAGGTCTTATAAAGTCTGCCTTCTTGTCTCATTATATCTTCTTGTACCTGTCACATAGAGATTACTGGTATGTCCATAAATAACTTATTCTATATGCCACATAAAGTCTACTTGCACTTCAAATAAAGTTTGCTTGTATATCTCATAATATCTTGTACAAATTGCATAAAAACCTCTTTGTATATGTCGCATAATGTCGTCATGTAAAGTCTGCTTATACGTCGCCTACTGCCGTATTGGCAGATTACAGTTTTTAATTCGTATGGTGTAGTGTCCCTGAGCCTACCGTGACTCTGGGGCTTACCATCATGCACAGCTACGTGGATGGACTCACAGTTATATACACACAGACGCCGATGTCTTAGACCTATCTTTAACAATCACTTCTCTGTGTACGGAGTTATCAAATAATTTGTTCATGTATCTACTCACTTTCGGAATCACGCACATGTACAGCCCGTCTCTCCTAGCCGAATATGCATACTGTTTAAAGGTGGGTGGACTGCTTTACACCATCACCGATGTCGTTGATCTGAACCAATGGATGGTCAAGCACTGTACGGAGCATCCCTTGTTCGAACGGGTGGTAGATGAGGATTTGGTAAGCTGTTGTGTTTTTGTTGTGGGTTGGGGTCTTACGAACCAATGTGGTTGTATCCCTAGTATCAGATGAGGGTTTGGTATGCTCTTGGGTTTTGTTGGGCCTTTGTATGGACCATGCAGTTGTCTCCACAGTATCAGATGAGGGTGGCAGATGAGACTTCATTTGTTATTACGGAAGATAGTTGGAATTCGTATATACTTACAAAGGTGTAGTGATGCATTGTAAATCCAGTCACATAGCACCCACCAATAATTGTTTAACTTGCAGGTTGGTGATCCGTGCATCGACAAGGTTACTCACAGCACCGAAGAAGGCATCAAGGTTGCGAGGCAAGGTGGTGACAACAAAAAGGGCGAGAAGTTCTTGGCCGTGTTTAGGAGAATAGATGACCCTTTTTCTGCGTGATGTCATTAAATCAAAAATAAAACTTTATAACTTAATTTACTAGGAACCATGTGTTCCATAGAATATTGAGAACAAGCACAACACAGGCGACTCTTGCCGGTTGATCTGTGTACAAAGTATTTCTGCCCTTTGAACATTAGCCTACAAATCGACTGAACGACAAAGAATCTTCTCAATTTTATCATAAACAACGAATCTTCTATCAGAATAGGTTTGTGTTTAAAGCTCAAATCTCACCTTTAACAACATTCCGACCGGCGCATCTGAATGGCTACCATACCATACTATACTATCGCAGATTGTATTCGGCGCCTGAACACCCCTGATCAGCCTTCCGAAAAAAGGTGCTATGTGAAACTAGGCCTAACTCCCGAGATAAGGTGCTATTTGAAACTGCGCCTCGCTCGTACGTTCGCACTCTTTGATGTGCATTTGAAGTGAATGCTCCTAATTTTTATGGGGTTGGGGTTTTTTAGGCCACTTTTTTGGTGTGCTGGGATGAATCACACCTCACCACAGACTTTCTCCACTCAGAGACTATTCACGCCACGATGTCCGCGATAATTGAACTGGAACTGTGTACACCAAGGCCATTGTAATTCGTACGCACAATATCAACAAATTTGAATGGCCCTCTGCAGGTCTCGAGCGGAAATCAAGTTTCTCTCGAATCGTAAATCTAACGCAGACCCTAAAACCCAAAGGGTTATTTTGCAAACTATCAGGAATAGTTGCACTGGATATGTGCAGCATTATGATTGATGGCATACTAAATTCGAATCAGATCATCGCTCTCTTACACGCCCTGATGTCAGCTTATCCGAACCTGAATTTGCGCAACATTACTTGTTACCTCTCCGTCTCACCATTCTTACCACTCCGCATGTCGGCCCTACATGCCACAGCCCATTTCTATCACTTTCTGGAAAACGTTTGTTACGAAACTAACGAAGCGCCTACTGGCGTACGTTTAACAGACATAGTTGGGTCATGAGGGTTTGAATCCATCTGTTTGTACGCATGTGTGCGTTGCATCATTACGTTGCGCTCCTGCACCAAATACCACTCTACAGCACCAGCTAAAGTTAAGTACAGCGTGCTTCAGTGCCCCCAGCCAGAGCCTATACACGTGTATGGACTCGAAGCATTCTGGCACGTCACCTGAGCGCCTCAAACCCAACTCGGAGCGTTGTACTGATCCATACCGAGAGCAAATATGTCGCATTGAATATATTAATAATAAAAACTTGTACGTTGAATACTCGGATAAGTATAGGTATATACTATAGCATCGAATGAATGGATTCATGTTCGAGCTTGAAGCTCACAATATACCGTTTGTCCTTCTCGAGATGGGGCCCAGTGTGTCCCCGGGGCAGGGCATATGCCACTATATTCAGTGGCATGTCACCCAAGAAAGTGGACAGACACATGTCAGGAAGACCTACAAACAGAATTAGCAGACATGATATTTGTTTACGAATGCGCCTACCTTGGAAATTGTAATGGTGAGCTATCTTGGTATGTAACACAAACCAAACACTACGAAGATATAGTGAATAACAATGAATACTTTCTCGTTGAAGTTACCTTCGTTGACTGTTATATAACGCAAGTTAACATTAAGGACGAGACAGATACAGCGAGTGAATTTGAATTCATGAACAAATCTATCTGTTGAAGGCGGCATCATATTGGAGAGCTATGCTGGCTACTAAACATGAAATCGAATCCGGAAACAGAAATCACAGTGACATCCAATACCTGGTATGTTGACGACCTTCCATTTGACGAAGTCGACATACATCCCATGCATGGACAGGGAATACGTGTCCTTGGTATTCCAGTCTCTGTAGTCTTTTCTCTCATTTTTGGCCACTTGCTCTGGGAACATCGGCACACCTGCACGAATTCGACCAAGAGATTGGATTGGTACGTCGATCACCTACTTAAATTGCATTTCACGTAAAGATACGATTGATTGATGCACATCTACGAAATGGGGTCCATTAGAACCATTGAATACAGGCATCCATATACCAATTTATATGCATGTAGAGTCGAAGGAAAGTCATTGTGTATATGGTTGAACCTGCATAGTTCTTGACAATATATTTTCTCAACATCGTACGTACTTTACAGCGGGCATATACCGTAAATTTGGTGGCCATGTTAAAGCTACAGACGTAAAATCGTCAAGGGAGATTTTTCTAAGAGTGGACGTGGCTTTTACATGTAGCGATGTGGCGACTTGGATGCAATGGTGGTGCTCGTGCTATGATTGTGGTGGTGCGGTACATCGAGTAATCTGGTGAATCGTACCTGTGACCAATGCTGAAGTTCGGTTGAAGCATGCATAAAGCAAAGCTTAGGTTGCGTGTATAGGGGCTCCTGTTTATCAATTTACATCAAATCCAGCCTCGGCCGATTGACATACCAAGCAATACACTGACTAGCACCAAACATTCCCCAAATACATATCAAGAACAATTTCCATACCATTGTTCGTGCAGATAAAAACTGGATCGATGCGTACTGCTTTTATACGTTTCTTACACAGAACACACGTTGATTCTCGTGTGTGATCTGTTGACACTTTTCTCTGCCACTGATTCGGTGCTACCTGTTGTACATAACTTACCCATTTCCGGGGGGTCATCGCCTTCGCTCGTGATCACAAATCGGTCCGCACACGAGAATACAGGCATCATCAAGTGAGCAGCCTGAATACATGACATGAGAAAGAGAAATAGAGAGAGAGATCAGAAACATGTGATTGAGGTTACAAAGTTTTAAGGGGGTGAACCGTTGCAAATTCAAAACTCTAACTCAACCTTCACATGTGATCACAAAAAGTGATACACAGTTGGAAGCTGCCGGCTTCATCGTAAGAATAGCTTGAATACAATATGCATTGACAACGAGGTTGCAACCGTGTGTAAATGGCTTCAGTGATTTGGGCGGGTATTTCTAGGGTTTTTATTTTCCGAAGATGAAGATCAGACTCTGACATTGAGTTCGTTCTAGGATATTTTTGACTACAACACCTTTCTGACTACGAATGTCAGATGACAAAAAGGAATTCCGCGCATACGTTAATCATACATGAGAAGACAATTTAATATATATATATATGTATATATAAATATATAAATATATGAATAAATATATATATATATATATAATATATATATATATATATATATATATATATATATATATATATATANATAAATATATATATATACTAATATAATAATTA